AGGCAGCCTCCCCTGAGAAACAGGTGAGCCAACGGGCACATTTGGAAAAAACGCTGTTGCTACAGAGGCCCCCCTAGTCATGACCCACCCCTGGTCTGGAGCTGCTGGGTACGCACCTCTAGAAAGAGCAGAGGATCCTGGTTGGAGCCCTTGAGCAGTGGGGGCCTGGGCTAGATGCTGCCTGCACCCCACATTCCTCACGTCCTCTCTGTGAGGCCTGCTTCTGACTTGAGGTAACTGGAGGTAAACCCCGAGAAGCATCACATTATTAATGTAGAAATATTGTTGAAAACCCTACACAGCATAGCGGAATAATTTTAACTTTGAGGTCAATACCTTATCCAGGTATTATTCAGTTTTGATGGCAATCTGCCCAAGAATTCAACTTCAAAACTAACAGTGAGCTAACTGCTCCAACAGCTTCCAAACAGCTCACGAACTTATTACCAAATATGGTTGGCAAACCAGGCTGCAGTCTGCGCTGCCGACAGCTGGCTCTGCCAGTCAGCTTCCGAGTCTGTGGGGACAGAGGGCATGGCTGCGCTAAGTGCGACCCTCCCGGGGTCTCCCACCCCCTTCTCTTCCCAGAAGGCACACTTCTTGGGAGGTGAGGCCTGGAGAAACGGGGGGTGCTGTGTTTAGACCTCAGCCCCCTTCCTCCCACACGGGTCACCTGTCTCCCAGATGATGCCGCCAGGAACACGCGGATCCAGTTAGAAGCAGCAATCCAAGGAGTGCTACTCAGCTAGAGAAAAGGTATTTCTTGAGCCCAAACCTCTGCCTGGAAATTTTCCGGCTTGTGTATTCCCATCCAGATCAACTTACGAGTGAATGCATGAGAAAGGATTTTTGTATCAGGTTCTCAGTGCAAACCATGAAACTCTTGGGTACTGTTGTATACAAAGAATGGGGTTAAAATCCTCCATTTGACATTTCCTGGCGGCTAGCTTTTCAAATTTTAGGAAAAGATGCACAGACCACAAATGAATCTTCTAAACTGTATTTGGAACTGTATTTGAAGCTGACAAAATCTTCCCAGAGACAAGGCCCCGGGCACAGTCTGTCCCCACCACAGATTTACATCAACCGTACAGAACAAAATCAGTGACACGTGATCTTTGGCACTAGAATGGGTAATCCTTTAGCTGTTCATACAATATCCAAACTGCACACCACATGACATTAGGTAGCTGGTTAAACAGCTGGGAGTCCTACCTAGCCATACCTAACACTTAGTGCCTGAGGTAGAGGCTTTTTTAAAGAAACACAATTGAGTGCAATAAAAAAAAAAATCCCCCCACCCCCATTTTGGAAGCATATAACTAAACATCTTTTGCTGGTTCAAGAAGCCAAACCTCAAATACAGAACTCTTCTGTTATTGCTGGAGAGGTTTTGCACAGGAGGAGACTCTTATTTGGACTTCTGGGGTTCGGAATACCATGGGTTGCTTCTTTAAAATGTTTATTAATGTGGAATGTGCATGAGCCAAACTCGCTTAACATCATTATTTAAAAAACACTACAGTAGAGACAACCAATCTTTTAAATTCTCCATGATATGTGGCCATAACAAGAACCGAGCATGCAATTCAACCCAATGATTCTAACACTGGATGGTGACTGTGAATTATTACAGATTATGGCACCTAGGTGAATTTAAACTTTATTTCCAAACTCTGCACTGTATAGGTGCAGGGGCTTTGTTATGTTCAGGTGATGAGCGCCTCTCCAAGAGGTTACATGATTTCATAGAGAGAATCTAATACCTGGAACCTTCCAATCAAAACGACCAGTCATTGTGGATTTTTGAGTTCAGGTACTTTTCTTCATTGCCAGAAAGACTTCATTAATAAAAAGGCATTTACTTTTTTCCCTTCATTTTCCTCTCTTTTGAAAGGCAATTTTTAATGCAGGTTTAAGTACACATACTTGCCTTTTACCAAAAGTTGACTAACCAAAAAGTCATCAAAAACTACAGATTTTCTTTTTAGAAGTAAACTGTCTCTTAAGGTGAGACAGAAAACGTAGAACACAGACAATTTAGAAGCTCAACGGGTAAAGCCTAAGTATGACTAATAGGAATAAAATCTGAGTCTGCTCCTGGTATAACCTGCTTAGAGCAAGTGTTTCAAACCAGCACTGATCCCATGATAAAGCGCTGAGGGACACCCTACTACCATCACATGGTTCTTTCGATCATTTTTTTTTTAAAGCTGATCATTCAGGTTAATAAGAGTTGGTGTCCTTATACCACTGTACCAGAGACTCTAACTACTTCATAGCATTTCTGAGCAGTATAGGTCCCTGAAGCCCAGAAATGTAAAATGACGTGCCGAACTTCATACCACGAAGAAATGTCAGGGCAGGTTTCTGGTGTCGTCTTTTCTCTGCAAAGATACACCCAGAGCTTCTAAAAGACACTCGTGTGAGTGACCTGTAAGGACCATCTTACATGGCAAAGCTTATTGTCTCAAAAGTGATTCTACAGACATTAGTCAAGGAAAATCACCAGAAAAAAAAAAATTCAAATGAACTAAACAGCTGTGGTTTTAAACAAATGAATATAGAAACAGGAAAACTTAAGTCATAAAGCAAAGAAAAAGCCACAAAATGAAAAATAAACATTTCTTTGGGGAAAATGTTACCCAATTCTCCCCTTAAATTTGAATTAAGGAAAACGTCTGTTCTTCATTGGACAAATCTGAATAAGTTCTAACAAAGATGAGCAGAGGGTTTATCACATCTGCCTAAGCCCAACAGGGTGTTCGGGAACTGACAGGTGCTGAGCACCGGGGACTGGGCGCTCCACGCCGATTGGGGAGCACGGATGGCGAGTCGTGAACTTAACAGGAAAAACCTCTGCCGACATGCTTTTTACACAAACAGCTGCCAGTTCCAGAGAATGATCAGAATACATTTCTTACAGATTCAACGTAGACCCAATTCATAGGCTAGTGAGCCAGACACAGATGGCCCATGTCCTGCGTGCAGGCCCATCATCTGTCACTGGGGAAAACGGCTTTGGCATTTGAACTCAACGTTCAAGGGCTGAAAGAACTGTACCAAGAAAGCAGTCCGAGTCAAGGAATTCATGTCCTTATGAACATTTAGTGAGAGAATAAAAACAGATTTTTTTAGAAGCACGTGCACATGGGGAGTGACCTGGAGTATCTCTCCATATACTTTAAGAGGTTGAAGAATTACCCAGACTCAAAGGCAAGACCCTCACGCGAACAAGTCGAATCGCCGGGCGCCGTAAGGAGCGCCTAAGCGGCGCCTCCGGCCTGGCCTGGCCCGGCCCTCGCGGGACGCTGCCCCCTGCCTTCCCACCGGCCCGCAGAGCCGCTCTGCTCTCCTCCGGCCCTGCCTGGACAGACGCGAGCACGTGTGTATTTTCTGTCCTTCAGTTAAGAAATATGCTGGAAGGCTAACGACACGAGGCTTAGTCGACAGCTCTTTATACCAGCTAAGCTTGGGTTTTCAAAATCTTGCCTGTTAGTAACGACCAGGCTTTTTTCTTAATGAACATTTCATTTGGAGGAAAAAGCGGATGTCTGTTAGCTTTCCAGGAGACACACATGTGTACCATTTCTGGAATCTCCTCTCTCACTCGAGTTTACTTTTTGCTTAGGATGGTCAGAGATCCTGAGAAGCTTCTGTAGGGTCAACTTTACAGATTAAAAGAGAAGAAAAACAAGAGAAAAACCTCACCAAGTCTGCTGTTAAGGAGTCTTCTAAATAATGAAGACCCAGCATTTTAAAAGTAAGACACAAAAAATAATACCTTTAGAATTTCAGAGTCAGAGGTGGCTTGTAATAGCTTTTAGAAGAGTGAGACGTCCAAAAGGAAACGCCCCCGGTGGGGGTGAAAGGACCCTTCTTTCTTTTAAACCTTCGCCGAGCCCGTACCCGGAAGCTCACAAGCCAGCAGACACGGCAGGAGAGGATCGCTCTCCAACCAAGGCTGCAGGCGGCAAGGAAATACTTAGTTACTGCGAGAGTTAAGTCAACACTGATGCTTGTCGCGACCAACAGCTACGCCTACAGGGAATCAATACGGAAACCCTCCCTAGGTCTAGTTGCAGACAGAACCCCAGGTTTGACTGGCCTTCCAGGAAGAAACCTACATTGGCGGAAATAAGAAAATTGTATCGTTTCCAGATGAATTATTAAAAATAGGGAATTTGTATTTAAGTCTTCTGCCATATGCAGTACAAGCAGCTGTGAGTATTCTTAGCCACAAGGGGATGTTTGCATGTTTAATGTCAACATACAAAGAAAACTATCTACCCCTGACTTCTCAGGAAACCAGAGAGAGGCAGGTTTCTGGAAGAAGATTTAAGGCAAATCAAACAGGTGTGCAACTGAGCACGGTATCAGGGCTCGTCCGCCAGGCGGCTTTGCAACGCGACAGAGGAGCCTTCCTGTCAGCTGGCCGGGCCCCGCCACCCCACCACCAGGCTGGGGGCGCCTTTCGTCAGCCAGTCTTCTCCTTGTGCACCTAAATGATATGCACACCATCAGAGCATCTACTGGCCATGCTTGATATTAAAAGGAATCCTGCAGTGAGGTGTTTATCTCCTTTGAGAATTAAACAGGCTTCCAAAGACTGAACACCACTCTGGGCACAGGAATGAGAGTCAAAGACTCCTCAGGTGGAGAAGGTCTCAGCCTCCTTCGGACGTGAACTTCCTTTCCAAGACTGAAAGGTGACTCCTTCTTTGTCTTCTTACGTGTCTGAAATCTTCCCTGCAACATGAGAGGCACTTTTGTTAAGTGTAGCATCTAAAAAACTTTAAACCCAGGCTGGAGTTTGCTGGACACAGTAATAACACTGGCCTCGTAGGCATCACCTATAAGGATTTTTCCCCCTTTAATATAAAAGTATAACTACAGTGGTCCAATGTACAAATACAAAAAAAGTCTCATACTAAAAAAAAGTACCATAATACTGTACATACAAAAACTATTCAACAAGAATGATTTAAATATATCTGCTCTTTGCCAGACGTGGACGGTGCAGATGAAAAGTCCTGCGGCCGCGTCACCGCTGGAACCTGCGCCCGGGGACGCTGCGTCTCCCTCTTCGCCGTCCTGGGCCCGCCTTCCGTCCCCCGAGCGTGGAGCACGCGCCAACAGCATCCCTGAAGATAACCAGAGCCAAGTGTTTACTCAATGGAAGTCATCACTCAGTGAGCGCCGTCACGTGAGCGGGAGAAGCGCGCCAGCCCGCAGACTAAATCCAGACGGAGGCCTTCCCGTCCCCCGACCTGCTGCTGGCGCTGCTTTTGTTGGACCCCGCCTTGGACCCCACTTTGGCCTTTTTCCCCCGGGCACCGTGGGGGCTGCTGTGGTGGCTGTAGGCCTGGATGGCTAGATCCAGGCGTTCCTGCGCCATTCGGATCTCCCGCTGCAGCGTCTCCAGGCCGGCCGGGAGGCCCCGCCCGTGGCCGCCGCACTGCTGCTCCTGGGCCGTGTTGGCCTTGTTCTGCTTGGAGGCGATCTTGGCGTTGGACAGGTCGGTGTACTGGATCGGATCTGGCTTGACAGCAATGTTGTAGCCAGGGGGAGCAGACGGTGTATTCCAAGTGAAAGGATAATTATAAGCACCCGGGTCTTCCAGTTCCCTCCTTTTACTGTTTAGCGAGTCTCGAATGGTTCCAAACCCCAAATGAAGCATCTCCCAAATGTCGAGCAACAGGCAGAGACCTGTGACACCATACATTATCAGGAGGAAGATGGTCTTTTCAGTGGGCCTAGAGATAAAGCAGTCTATCTTGTGAGGGCAAGGAAGTCTGCTGCACACGTAAAATGGGCGGACCCGGAAGCCGTACAGAAAGTACTGCCCGACGAGGAAGCCCACCTCAAAGCCCGTCCTGGCCAGCAGCTGCAGCACGTAGACCTTCATGAGCCCGTCCTCCCGAATCCGCCGCCGGCCGTCATGCTTGGCCTTAGCGCGGCTCTGCTCTTTATTTTCTTTCTCACTTTCCAACTCCATTTCCGGATACATCATAGGGTCTTCTTCGTGGTCCTCTTCTGTTTCTTCCAGAGCCCGGTGCTGTTTCCAACGCATGGCGTAGGGCTTGCTCCGCGCCGCCTTCTTGTCTGTCTCGCCTTGCTCCATCTTGGCGATCTTATGGATGGCGTAGCCCAGGTACATCACGGAGGGGGTTGCCACCAGGATGATCTGGAACACCCAGAAGCGCACGTGGGAGAGGGGTGCAAAGGCGTCGTAACAGACATTCTCGCAGCCTGGCTGCTCCGTGTTGCACACAAATTTGCTCTGCTCGTCGTAATAGATGGACTCGCCCCCCACGGCTGTGAGCACGATCCGGAAGACGATCAGCACCGTGAGCCAGATCTTTCCCACAAACGTGGAGTGGTTGTGGATCTCCTCTAGCAGGCGAGTCAGGAAGCTCCAACTCATGGTGACGGAACTGGTTTGTCCTAATAAAAACAAAAAATACCAAAGGAACATCAACAAACACCAAAATCGAATAATTTGCCGTTAATGGTGGTATCTTTAAGAACCGCTTCTCTGCATCAACTGAAATCTCACTTCGAGGCTCATGCCAGAATGAAGGCTCGGTGACAGCGCCTGACTCCTCCGGCCTGGAGGAGCCTGAGCATTGGCCGGGCCCACAGGGCCTGCAAGTCTGCTTTGCTTTCATGTCTTTCCTAAAGTCGCAGCGAGCACCTGGACACGTTCCTCAGACACAGTGCACTAGGTTCTCCAGCTGGCTCAGGACACCAGAATTTTGTGAGAAGAAAGCAGGGGCCATTTGGCCCAGCCACCGCCTTGCTGAGACCAAGGGCCGGGGGTGGGGGCTGCACTGCATGCGAGGAAGCAGCTCACCAGGACATCAGACTTTGGGTCCAGTGACACAGTGTTAAAAGGAATGAAGGAAATGGTACAGCTGCAAGAACTGACAATGACCGAGAACTAGAACAAAAGACCAAAAGGAACTTGGGAGACGCTCCCTAGCCAGGCTCAGAGCCAGCGACTCTGTCGTGTGCCCAGACTTCGCTTATGGTCGATGTGGACTGCACTGACTGCATTCATGCTAATCAGTAGGCAAATCCATTTCTAAAAACATTTATTCTGAGTTGCTTAGCTCTGTGCCCAGAGTCCTGTAAATACCAAAGTGAAATAACAGATGTAAAAGTCACTAACACACACACAACTGCAAACCACTCCTGACAGAAAGCACACTTCTCTTTCCTCCTTCTCTTCACCACTTTACTCCTGTAGATGATAGGTGATTTATTCACATCTTTAGAGAAGTTAAACATATTTTACCTGTTGTCCAGAACTTCTGTTATCCAAAGTTTTCTTAGAGAACGGATGTTTTGCTTGTGACTTTTCCAGATTCCCTCTAGAAGGGAAAAAGAGAAAGTCGTTAAACTTCCTCCCACAGAAAACAATAAATCACTTTCAGGAAGAAGCAGTTTTCTATGTACTACAGAATTTAATCAGTAGATGGAAAAAAGCTTGTGTCTGAGAACCACCGCTATCTCCTAATACAAATGGTAGAAGAAACTATGGAACAGTGATCCAAAGATTCTGAAGTCACTGTAGTCTAAGAAGCTATGACAGGAAGACTAGTCATTTGTGAAAATCCAATGAAGATGAACTCTGGTGCCTACAGGGAAAAGTCAAAGCAAAAAATCTCAGCAAACTTAAACCCATCACCACCGGCCTCGTGAAGATCTTTAGCCCATGTGTCTGATTCTGAGCAGCCAATACCCCTCACTGAGACTCAGCCAGCCAGCTCAGAGCAAGCTGTTCAGTTAAAACACCCCACAGCTGGTGCTCAGTGCTCGGGACACCCGTGGCCTCAGGAGGTGATTTAGAGATTCAACTGCTCACAGAAAGAAAACACCTGTGGCATCTGCACTGTGACTCAAGAGAAAAAAAACCAGGAAAATGATCGCTTATAATCAACCTCAGCTACTCAGAGGTGTCAATTTTGCTCATTTACTATCATTTAATGAATAAAACAACTCCTGAGAATTATGAGTGCAGAATAACTTAATTAAAAAGTTGGGTTAAGATTTATGGGGAAAAAAAATCTAAGGCATCTACATAACAAGCACGTAAAATTTACACGTAACACCTGACCACACCTGACCACACTCAGCCCTCACCAAAGTATTTCCAGTCCAACTTGCACCCAACCGCGCTCACACCACTGAACCCACAAGCTATAAAGACACAAAGCCAGTAACTAACAGGCCCCCTCTAAATGGCGAGTCAGCCAGGTTTCCCTTGTAGAACTCCATGACTCACATCCACCAAGTCCAGACTCAGAATTCTGTCAAATGCCACAACCAAAATATTTCCTTCCCAAATTATATTTGTTCCAAAAGCCAAAATTATGAAAATTCAATTATTAATTAGAAAACGCACTCTCTACACCTCTGTCCACAACCAAAGACAAATGGTATTTTTTAAATTATAACTTAACTTTTTAAAATTGTAAAATAACTTCTCAACAGTACTCCAACTTTTTTTTGTGGAGCAGGGGAAAGGGCAGGAGGAAGAACTGGTGACAAGTCTGTCAAAATTTATATCCAAATTTTAAAGCAGCAATTGAACACACACAAAGTACATGTTGTGCAATGGTTAAGCCCTGGGCCAAGAAAACTCTGAACCGTTAGAGCCTAGTTTTCCAAGGGCATTCCTAAGAGTCTAATACCCTAAACCCTTCAGTATAAATGTATTCAGTAACAATTCCAGCTGCCCATAAAATGCTTTTAAGGAACAGTCAAGTAGGTTTTTTGATATGCTTCTAACCCCCTTTCCTTTCCTTGCAAGTATTAAGAAAATGTCTTAAATATCAACATGTACTACCGACACTGGGTTTGTAAAGGAGGCTTGGAAGGGTAGAAAGAGAGAAGAAAAACTGAACAAGGGCCCTCCCTGGTGGTGCAAGGGGTTAAAGTGCAGCCCTACGAAGCTATCCACTGCAATCCCTGGGCAGGGAGCTGACCCACATGGCGCAGCCACCCTCTCCCGTCTCACCTGTTGCTCCCGTCAGCAGTGTATTTCAGTCAATCTACCTGTTCTGCTCCCCACTGTCTCTGGTGAACCCTCTCACCACTTTGTACCTCTGGCCTGTACCCCAGTTCTTGTGTGCATAGATAAATAAATCTTTAGAAAGAAAACCTGAATGAGCAGACTGGTGGGTCATGGAGTTAACATTTCCAAGCAGAATGTGTCAATGCCAAGTGTGGTTTTGTATCCTTGCTCTAGCAAAGTTCTGTTCCTTCTGAACTTTTCCTCCCTCTGCTATCAGAGACCTAGTCTTCTCTACTTCAGTAAACAGACTTGGTTAAAGGCTAGGGAGTAAAAGTTGTAGCTAATTTCTGCATGGCTCTCATGAAAAAATAAAAACCGCCTGTAAACTCATCATGACTGGCAAACAATGTGGGAGGCAGGTGGGGCGTGGAGGTGAGGACAGCAAACTTCTGAAGGAAGTCTGGAAACTGAAAGGAAACTTTCCTTCATAATTAGGAAAACCCCAGACGAGTCACAAATATTTAATGCCTTTTTTGATGCTATCCTTTGGCTGAATTTACCGACAAATTTTAGGAAGTGATAAAAGATCACAGGAAACAATCTGCACAGTTCTTTTATCGACTTTCTAAAAAGGCCCCCACAATTTACAATGCCTGGCAATGAACGATTACAATGTCCACCTCACCAGCACTGGTGTGATGTTACACCACAAGATGCAAAATGCTGTTTCAAAATTCTCAATTTGAATGTTTTTAATACTGTAGGGTACACTTCTCTCATATTAACCCTCTGTGTGGACTAATATCTATGCTCATCTATTTGTCTACAGATGTGGGTTCTTATTTTTAAAAAAGATTTATTTACTTATGTATACAGAACTAGGGTACAGGCCAGAGGTGCAGGGGTGGTGAGAGGATTCATGAGACAGAGTGGGGAGCAGAACAGGCTGACTGACAAAGTACATTGCTGAGGGGAGCAGCAGGCGGGTCAGGAGAGGTCTGCGGCGTCATGTGGGTCACCTCCAGGGCAAGTATCGAACTCATGCTGAAGTGGCTTTTACTTCTTAGGTGCAGTGCTTTAACCCGCTGAGCTACCAGGGAGGGCCCCCCAGATGTGTTTTTAATACAGCACGGATAGTAACCATTTGATGTCCTACTTTATAGCCTTCCTTCACATTTTACTACTTTTACAAAATAAAGCCACAAAAGGCCCTCCCTGGTGGCGCAGCGGGTTAAAGCACAGCACTGAGAATCTAAAGCCGCTTCCACATGAGTTCGATTCCCGCCTGCCCCGGAGGTGACCCCATGGCGTGGCAGACCTCTCCTGACCCGCCCGCTGCTCCCCTCAGCAGTGTACTTCGTCGATCTGCCTGTTCTGTTCCCCACTCTGTCTCTGGTGAAGCCTCTCACTGCCCCTGAGCCTCTGGCCTGTACCCCAGTTCTGTATGCACAAATAAATAAATCTTTAAAAAATAAAAAAATAAAAAAAATAAAGCCACAAAAGGCAAATTTCTTGAGTAAATTATATAGAGGTTATTCTTTCTAGGGTGGTTTTTTAAAGAATACGGCAATCCAAGGGAGCCAGTAATTCAAAAGGACTCACAAATATATAAAAAGTGCATATGGAAGAAAGTTGTTTCTTATGCAATGTTTACAGGACTGAAACCAAATGTGCTATTTTTAGTCTATTTTCCAAATCACCAAATCTACCTTGTCTTGCACTTTAAAAAAAAAAAAAAAAAAGGCATAACATGGCAACTAAATTATGCAATTTTCCCCTAAATTCTTTATTTCAAGCGTTTTCTACCAGTTATATCCTAAAAAAGATCAAAGTTTAATGCATTTTCCCCTACAAAACAGAATTCACAGGATTTTTAAAAATTAAAGTACATTGCTCAGGTTATCTCAGGAGCTATATCAAATGATTAAATAAATTTTAAAGATGACAAAATGAGATCCAGAAAGTTTACAAAATTTGTCTAAGATCATCCAGTTAGATGATAACACAAGAATTTGAACTCAGCCAATCTTGTACCAGTTGGGATTTTTAAACACTGTGAAGAATTATTATACATACAGATTCCATGAGAACACAAAAGAGAGGACTCACCCTAGTCTTTGGAACCAGAACTAAAGTAAATTAAAATAAATTTAGAAAAAGATAAAAATAAAATTTGAGTTTGTGATCTTACATAGAACAGATTGAAAGTTAAAAAAAATCAAAGTCCTGAAGTGGCTTCTTGGAGACTTAGCAGAGGGTCAGGACTTTTACCACTGCCCAGTAATGAGATCATCTCCCCACACTGTCAGTGGAAGTCATATGGCGTGCATCCCTGTACCAACAGCCAATACCATCAGAAGTCTGAACTAAAGTCATCTAGCAGTAACCAAGAGCCCATCATCAATTATCAAGGGAGCCACGCGGAGAACCTGGACTTTCACCCCTACTTGATAGGAATGAAGCAGCACCTCAATTCCCCTGTTGAGGCACTATCACAAGACTTGCTAATGCAGAATATTTAAGTAAGCACTAGAATCTCTTAAGCAACAAAATGTTCAGATTTCAATCAAGTCACATGAACCACTGGAAAATCTTAAATTGAATAAATAATACCAAGATAAAACATGCTTAAACTCTATGACTAAAATATTTACACACTTCATTAAAATACTACAAAGAGAAATTATGAGCACACTTGAAATAAACCGTAAAAAGTCTCAGAAAGATAAAAAAAAAAAATCAAATGGTTTTCAGAACTGAAAAGTAGAACCACTAAAAAAACCCCAAACAAATCCTCACTGGATGGACTGAACAGCAGAATGGAAAGGAAAGTGGAAAGAATCAGCAAACAAGAACACATAGCAGAAGTTACACAATTTGAATAGAAGAGGGAAAAACAGACTGGGACAAAAACAAAACTTCATTGCCCCACCCCCACAGACCTACTCTTGGAGCTGTAAGATTTTAACAGATCTAACATTCTTTTCACCAAAGTTAAAGGAAAATGGAAAGATGGGACTAAAAAACATTTGAAGGAATAATGGCTATAAAATTCTGGACCATCAGAGGTTCCTCAAACTGCTAAACATGGAGCTTCCCTATGACCCAGCAATCCCACTCCTAGGTATCTACCCAAAAGACACAAAAACACTGATTGAA